CTCGATCCAACTCAGGTTCTTTGTCGGCTACAAACCAGCGATACTGGACACCGAGTCCCCCTCCTACCCCTACCCAACCGCCAAGTCTGCCTCTCAAAACGCCAGTAAACATCGTCGAACTTAGATGGCAATGCACAACGCTGCTCTGATGAGGGAGGTGGCGAGGTTGTGATGTGATGGGGGTGTGTGGGTGGGGTTGGTTGGTTTACTGGAGGTTGGTATTTGGGGGCGTGTTGGAAATGGGAATGGGTGGGAATTGATTCAACATGGGTGGGTATTTCCTTTGCCTCAACCCATCCTAAACGCCATGATAAAACGTCTCTAGATAGAGTCTACATTATTTTACATGAGTGTTACATTCTCGTTGCATCATTGCCCTCTCCTGCGTCGGCGCATTGGTGCGTTGTGACATTGGGCTGGGAGAAGGGCCGTATCTCGTGGTACGATGCTGAACTGAGCGCATCGACGCATTGCAGGAGTCAAATCCGCCCCTCCTTTTCCCAGATTTCCCATTTGGTTGGCGTAGTCTGTGATCCAACCGGGAGGTTCTTGACGGGAAGCCTAGCCGAGTAGGGCATGCTGACCCCTGATGCTGCGTCAGGATTTTGGCCATGGTGGACCAGCGACTTGCCGGAGAACCACCACCCCAATGGTTTTGAGACTGCATGACTTGAGTCCGAAATCAGGGCCGCCGCCATCGTTTGGCTCCAAAGCGCTCTGATGGTAAGCTTGGGGGCATACAGCACCCCTCTAGAGCCAATGCTCTTCCATCTAGGTTGTCGCCCTCAACGGCGTAGTTCGCCGAGCACCGAGGGCCGGCAATCCCTGTGCTTTCTCCAGGCTCCTCTGCAACATACCACCCCATAACCCCTCCAAATCCAAATCTTTCCTCCTCGACTCGGTGAGCATCTGAATAACGATGGTGGTGCCCGTTTGTGGCACACCGAAACCCGTCGACCTGCCTTCCGCGTCGAACATCTCAACTTCCTGGGTTGACCCCCCCACAACGCCGAGGTTGACGCAGACCCACCCCGTGCTGATACCATCATCGCCGCCGCGCATGACCCCGGAGTTTCCAAGCAGCTTTGCCTTGCGCGCAAGACGCCTGAGTTTGACCTTCAGCTCGTTCCGCCCAAGGAGGCCATCGGCTACGGCCACGATGCCACGCCCACGCAGCCACCGAACCGTGCGATCTGCCGACACGTGAAGATGGCGCTCGCTACGGGATGTCCCAAAGAGCATCATCAGGTTGGGGCCCAATGCCGGAGGGGGGTCCATCTCCCGCAGGTCGAGCAGCGCCAAGTCGTCCAAGCCCAGCTCATCCGCCACGAACTTGAGTAGCGGCTCCATAAGTTTGGGTGAGTCGTCGGGGATGTCGGGCAGCGGCGAAGGTTCGTGGACGAGAGTCGGGTGTCTCGGGGGCTCGACCTGTAAATACCACGGTACTTCAGAGCCACCTGACTCTGAAGATGCTTCGGCGTTTGGTTTTTGCTCGTCGTTGCTCTGCTCCTCCTCAACTCTTTGCTCCGTGATCGAGGGACTGCCCAGGCGACATGGTGTAGGCCGGAAGGTTGAGAATGCCGTGGCAGTTGTTGGAGCGAGAAATTGGCTTCTGAATGTCGCCACAGATACGCGGGCAGGGGGCACTGCGAAGTTGCTGATGTACGGACGCAGGGCTGAGATACTGCAGGCCGGACAACGAGCAACACGGAGGATGGTGGCGGGTGTCATTGTTGTGGTTAACATGGCGCACGGTCGATGGGTGTTGGTGAGATTGTGAGATTGAGAACAGGACCAAAAAAATGCGGCAACAGAACAGATCGAATATAATTTTCGAAGCCTGTGTAAACTTTGGAGCCAAAGCTCGAAGCCAGAAAGGTGCTTCGGTTGTCGATTGGTGCTCGCTGCTGTCGAGGTGATCCCGTGCGCACCCCACCAAAGCTGGTGGGTATTGATTGCATCCGCCAATCAGACGCGCCTCTCACGGTTTTTTTTTTTTCTCGAGCGAGCGGCCACGCGAGAGAAGAGGCTTGCCCCGATAAGATTGCCATGCAGAGGTGGGAGGCCAATTTTTGAACTTCCCGAGCCATCCCATCCGGTGTCTCGAGTTTTGCCGTCTCGTGAACTGAATCTCGAATTAAATGCGCTGTCCCCTATCCTTGAGCGAGTCGACAGCAGCCTTCTTTTTGTTCTTATGATAGATAGGGCCACCGACTCTCCTTTTTCTTTTATATTCCCACCGTTATTCAGTTTAATGCATTAGTTATCGCCGACCTTTCGACAGATATTTCCTTTCTGTTGAAGCCTGCCCTCTCCCTCCCCCACCACTTTTTCCCCCCGAGAACAGCAAAGCAGCGCAACGAGACGACTGCGGCGCAAGCTCCCCTGTTGCTTCAAGATGCTCGTCCGTTCGGGCGCCGCACGACAACCCCTCCCCATACGCCGTCTTCTCTCGTCTGCCGCCCCCCTCCGAAACGCCTCGAGATGCTCGCTCTCCAACCCTCTCCCGTCTTTGATTGGGAACCGGCGGTTACTTACAACTGAACCCGACTCACGGCCTTGGAAGAAGAAGTCATATCGTGCCCTGGTCGGCTTCGAGCGCAACTTGGCCACTGCCCTCGACGAGCATCGCTTTCGTGACGATGTGCCGTTCGAAGGTCTACCACCTAGCTTGGCCGCCCAATACCAGCCGCGAAAGCCACAGATAGCACCTTACCTACTGAGGCCGTACAACGTGGATTCTCCGTTAATCGTCGGCGAGCCGAAACCATACCCGCCTAGGCAAAGGCTCAACCCCAATGGCATTCCCGGCGACCTCGACGAGATGCTCTCGGTGTTTGAAGCTTGTGTGCAGGTCGGCAGACTGGACCGCGCCTCTCTAGTCTTGCAACGATTCGGGCGGATGAATATTCTGGAACCCGAGCAGGCCATTGAACTACACAACCAGTACTTGCAGGGTCGCGTTTCAGAGCTCATGGCAGAGCCACGCGCGGACAAGGCCGACGATGTTCATAAGTGGTTTGAGCTCCACATTCGGGCTGCTCGTCTACCGTTCACGCCCCTCACCATTGCATACATGCTTAAGACGACCCTCCTCACTCCCGCAGACGGTACACAGGCGGGTCGGATCGACCGCTACATGAGCATGATGCCCGAGCAGAACGCCGGGGAGCCACTCGACTTGGGGAACGTTCTCAGTGACGAAGATTTGGCCGCTATCGCCGAGATATGCCCTTCCTACTATGTCCCCGACGACATTGCTGCTGCCGCGGATGCTGAGGCCCTCGTCGAAGACGAGGAGGGTGGCTCGGCGGGCTCGGGGACTCTGGACGCGACGAAAACCACGTCAACCGGCGCGCCGGAAGTCTTGGGCACACCGCAAAAGGGCATGGGGCTTAAATCTCTGAAGACGGCGCTTTCCATGTTGTCTGAGCTTCCACCTGGGCTAGACATTGGTTCTCTTCCCATCGCACAACGACGTGAGGTCCAAGCTAGACTTGAGAAAGATTGTGTGGATGCTGCCGTTGCGAGGTGGCGGGAGGAAAATGAAGCACTCATGGGCATGGGTCTAAACACGCAGCTGTCGACGCCCACTCTTAACTCCAAGTTGTACGACTGGCATCAGGCTTTGGAGGCTAGGTTTGCCGAGGAGCAAGCCAAGGTTGAAGTGTCCGAATCGGCGACCAAGAAGTCGAAGGAGGATATGGATCGTTGCGTATATGGGCCCCATTTGCTACAGTCCCCTGCAAAACGCCTCGCTGCTGTCACGATTCTCAGCGCACTCAGTAGTCTGGCCATGCACGGTGCGGACAAGGGCATTCCGGTCTCCAACATGGTACAGCAACTTGCCAAGATTGCCGAGGAGGATATTCGTGCCCAGAACCAGGCTAAACGCGCTCCCAACGCCAAATCGAAACCACGCCGGCAACAGAGTGCCCGGCAGTTGATCCGGCTCTACGACTCCACCCCCGGCGAACCTGCGGCCGTGCCCGAAGCCGAGCCTACGGCCGCAGCCGAAGCCGAGCCTGCAGCTGAGCCTGAGAGCATGCCGCCAGCCCCCCCTGCTGTCACAGACAATAGTTTCGCTTATAGAGCGGATTCTGTGGAAGCGCGGTGGCCGATGCTGATCAAGGCAAAGGTTGGCGCCGTTCTTCTCGCCGCTCTGATGGACACCGCAAAGATAGTTGTTCAACGGGAGCACCCAGAAACAAAGGAAAAGTTGAGCCAAACCCAACCAGCCTTCACCCACGCCGTGCAGCTCAAGAAGGGACGGAAAATAGGTGTGATCCAGCCCAACCGCGAATTGATAGAGCTCATGAAGCGGGAGCCTCGGGGCGAAGCATTGGCCCGGCATCTGCCCATGGTTGTTGAACCTGTTCCATGGTCCAAGTTCGACAAGGGCGGTTTCATCTCGGCGCCAACCCCTCTCATCCGGCTAAAGAACCACGAGAAAGACCAACGCATTTACGCTGAGGCGGCCATCGAGCGTGGAGACATGGAACAGATGATGAGGGGCTTGGATGTGCTCGGGAAAACTGCTTGGAAAATTAACCGCCCCGTCTTCGATGTGATGCTAGAGGCATGGAACACCGGTGAAGAGTTTGCCAACCTGCCCGCCCTGGATCCCAAAATTCCCATTCCCGCCGAACCGGACTCGACCGACGATCCGATGAAGAAGCGAGTGTGGCTGAGGTCGGTTAAAGCCGCCGAGAACGAGAAGTCTGGCTTGCACTCTGTCCGGTGCTTCATGAACTTCCAGTTAGAGATCGCCAGAGCCTTCCGGGACCAAACCTTCTATTTCCCTCACAACATCGACTTCCGCGGGCGCGCTTACCCGATGCCGACGTATCTGAACCACATGGGTGCCGACCACATGCGTGGGCTGCTGCTCTTCGCCAAGGGTAAACCATTGGGTGAGAAGGGACTGGCTTGGCTCAAGGTCCAACTTTCCAACGTGTACGGATTCGACAAGGCCAGCCTGCAAGAGCGCGAGGACTTTGCCACCAATAACCTGGAAAACATCTTCGACTCGGCCGACAACCCGCTCACGGGGAAGCGGTGGTGGCTCCAAGCCGAAGACCCCTGGCAATGCCTTGGCGCCTGCTTTGAATTGAAGGCCGCCTTGTCATCCCCAGATCCCGCCGCTTACGTCTCACACCTACCCGTCCACCAGGATGGCACCTGCAATGGTCTGCAGCATTATGCCGCGCTCGGTGGTGATACCTGGGGTGCGCAGCAGGTTAATCTCCTGCCAGGAGAACGCCCTGCCGACGTCTACGCGGCCGTCGCCCAGTTGGTACAGGAAGAGGTGAAGCAGGAGCTCGCGGAGGGCAACGAGTTTGCCAAGGCCGTCGACGGAAAAATCAACAGGAAAGTGGTCAAGCAGACGGTCATGACGAATGTCTATGGTGTCACGTTTGTTGGTGCCAAGAAGCAGGTGCAAAAGCAGCTGGACTCGATCTATCCCAACATCGAGCAGGAGACGGGCTTAAGTTCGACCGTACTCGCGTCGTATCTCGCCGGCAAGGTGTTTACGGGCTTGTCGACCATGTTCCGAGGTGCCCACGACATCCAAAACTGGCTAGGTGAAATCGGTGGCCGCGTGTGTCGTGCCTTGACACCGGAACAGATCGACCGGCTGGCGGGGGGGTCGACCGAAGAAGCCAAAACCAAGAAGGCATCCAAGTCCAAGGCGGACATCGAGGAGGAGATGAACGGCTACTTTCGTAACACGCTCGTCTGGACGACGCCCTTGCGGATGCCCGTGGTTCAGCCGTATAGGAAGAGCGGAACTCGGATGATCTCGACGTGTCTACAAGACCTGATTCTGACCAACCTGGACCGGGATGATCCGGTGAATCGGCGGAAGCAGCTTCAAGCATTCCCTCCCAACTTTATCCACTCGCTCGACGCCAGCCACATGATGCTGTCGGCCCTCGAGTGCAATGCCATCGGGCTTACCTTTGCCGCCGTGCACGACTCATTCTGGACACATGCGGCCGACGTGGATGACATGAATGCCGTCATCCGTGATTCCTTCATCCGTATTCACCAAGAGGACGTCATTGGCCGCCTCAAGGCAGAATTCGAGGCGAGATACCGCGGAGCGCTCTACCGAGCCAAGGTCGACTCCACGACGGAAGTCGGGAAGATGATTCTCAAGTACCGAAAAAGTAACCGCATGGATGTCAAGGAAGAACTCTTGCTGGAGAGGCGGCGCCAACTCCTTCTGCACTCCATGGACCCGGAGGAGGTGAGGAAGGGTCAGGAGATGGTCACGGCCGCTAGCATTTTCGAGTCCATGGCGACGCCGGACATGATTGTCAATGAAGTGGACCCGCAAGAGTTGCTCGAGGATGCGGACGGGGATGTGGACGGGCATGCCGCCGCGGAGGGACCCTCAGCTGAGGACAAGAACCGCAAAGGGAGAAAGAACTATGCGACGCAGCTAAAGGAGCTTTCGGGCACCAACTACTTCGAGATGGAGATGGACAAGGCGAACCGAGCGAGGATAGCAAAAGCGAAGTTGTCGCCGCAAAACTCTCAGGTCGCCGTCTGGCTGCCGCTCACGTTCCCCAAGATCCCTCAGAAGGGCGACTTCGATGTGACGCAACTCAAGGGGAGCAAGTACTTCTTCTCTTGAGCGAGTCGTAGGGGTCAACGGCGGAGTGGGGCATTTTCTGTTGTACCATCAACAGTGCATTGCATTTGTCTCTGGTTGCTTTTGTGGCGTTTTCTGACGAGTTATTTTACGAAGGTGGCATGGTTGGCGCGGCGTTTGCGATAAGAGGGGGTTGTTTGAGATGCATGTGTACGTTAACGTCAAAAGAGACGATGATGCTGAGATGCGAATATCTGCTGCTCCTTGGGGGTGTTGTATAGTATAAGGGGGCAATGTATTCAAAACTTAATTAAAGATCTCCGTCTACTAAGTACCTTCTTGGCCTTCCCACACCCTGCTGAGCACCTTTTCTCTCGAGGCCCTCGATTCCTCCGCGATTACCACACCCTTTCCGAGCCTGTTGACTTACATGCATGCCGAGTCTTGACCCCTTCTGCAAGGCACGGAAGCGGGTATTGGCAGTTCGAATTCAGCCATTCTGGTAATGACGCTAATCTGGATATAGTACCAAATACTACATCGGCGAGCCAATGTCCATGACGGACAAGGGTAATCAGATGTTGAGACTCGGGATAAAAGACCGGTTCTGATGCTTTACCGGGTTCCTGGTCGGGTGATGCTATTTTTGTTCTCAAAGGATATTGCTCAACGAGTCCACGCTCTCGGATCGACACAGGGGACAAGACAAGGGGCCCGGCAACCAACCTCGGAAACTGGGTAAGACCTTGCCAGAAGTCGACGCCACTTTCTGTCAAGGGAAACGAAGAGAAAACTCTTGTCTCCCGGAAGCTAACACTCCTTCACCTTGCAGACGCCGGCTTGAACCAAGGGTTTTTGACTGGCTGCCAGACTTTTTGAACCTCGCACTGCAACCCACACTAGCCTCCGATTGTCTTGGTCAAGTATTCACAGTCGAATATCTGTAGTATCCCGAAAGGTGGCGTTGGATAGTTGCCAGGATCGAGTGGCCGTTGGAAGAGCCGGGGGAGCCGGTGTCTGTTGCTGCTCAACCAGAGGGTACTTCAAGGGGCTGTCTCCCCGTGAGAGGGCCTAGTTATGGATATTAATTCCTCCTTGGTAGACTGCAAGACAGTGTCTCCTTAGACTACAATACTCAACACGATTGCATTAACCTGAAGTCTTACACCGGCCCAGACACAACTCAAGATGCAGCTCTCACTCTCCAACACCCTCGTCTTCCTTGGGCTGCTGAGCATCAGGTAAGGGCATCACCACAACACTCTCCTCCAACTCTCTCACACACAGCACTGACACCTTCACCCCCCAACGCAGCTCAGCAGCGCCCGCAGGCCAGGGCATTGACCCGGTCACTCTCCCGCCGGCGCTCCCGTCGACCTGCCTCGGCTGGGGCACTAAGCCGACCTGCTACACGGCGACGACCACTAAAACAGCCTCACCCAGTACGTCGCCCCGGAGCTATTCTTTGACCTGGATGTACGAGATTTGTATCCAGGGCATGAGCGGGATCCTGGCTGACGAGATGGGGCTGGGTATGTCCAAGCAGCCTTCCCACGGGGGACTCAAAACTGACATGTGGCAGGTAAAACCGTGCAAACAATATCCCTAATCGCGCTGCTTCGTGAGCAGGAGAACTACCTCGGCCCACACCTCATCGTTGCCCCCTTGAGCACCTTATCCAACTGGCTGGATGAGTTCCACCAATGGGTTCCCTCAATACCAGTTGTCATGTACCACGGTACGCCACAGCAACGCGACGAGATCTTCAAGTCCAAGATCATGCGCCATCTCCACAAAGGAAGGCCAACCGAGAAGTTCCCCGTGGTGTGCACCAGCTACGAGATGGTTCTCAAGGACCGGGCCGCCTTGTCCAAGATCAACTGGGAGTTCATCATCATTGACGAGGGCCACCGCATGACAAACCTCCGACTCGAAGCTCTTCCGGG